GCCTAGTAGCTTTATATTATAAATGTAAATTAAATTTACATTATATATTTTATAATAATTGCATATTATATATAACCTTTATATGTATTTATTATATTTCTATATATTATATTTTTATGGTAACGTTGTATTATATATATACACACATATATATAATATTTATATATTTTATTATACATGATATTTTTATAACAGTCTGTCTTTTCCACTGTCGTCGTCTTCCTCCAGAAATGTTCATGTTTAGACTCTTGGGGCTTTTCTGCGTAACAGACACACAAAAAGCTACAACTTCCCTCTGCATCTCATTAGTCTCTAAATGTTTCCCATCATGCCAAAAATACAGAGGCAGGCACAATTCTGACTTTTTCTCAGAATTGCATGCTATAAAGTCAGAAATGCGAGATTTAAACTCGCAATTTTGAGAAACAAAGTTGCTATTCTAAAGATATAAACTCGACTTTTTTTCCTCAGAATCACAGAACAGTTTTTATCTCACAATTCTGACTTTATAATACAATATGCAATTTATTCATGTATGCAAATGTGAGTTATAGTCAGTATTGTGAGATATAAACTCGCAATTGTCTTTTTCCCCTCAGAACTGTACTTTATAGCTCGCATCGATGCATGCTATAAACTCTCAATTCTGTGAAATAAATCACAGCTGCATGCTATAAACGAGAAAAAAATCTCACAATTTGGACTTTATTTCTTGTGACTGTGACTTTAAATCCCACAATTCTGACTTTTCTTAATTGCAAGTTCATATCTCACAACTCAGAGAAAAAAAGTAAGAATTAGGGCTGCACGATAAATCAAAATGGAATCGAGATCGTTACTAACAAAATGTGCATGACAATCGCATTCGATTAATCGTGCAGTCCTAGTAAGAATTGCAAGATAAAAAGTCACAATTACCTGTTTTTATTTTTTATTCAGTGGCGGAAACGGGCTTCCATAGTTTCAACACCTAATATGTGACCACAAAACCAGTCATAAGGGTCAATTTTTTGAAATTGAGATGTATACATCATCTGAAAGATGAATAAATAAGCTTTCCATTGATGTATGGTTTGTTAGGATAGAACAATATTTGGCTGAGATACAACTATTTGAAAATCTGGAATCTGAGGGTGCAAAAAACTCAAAATATTGAGAAAATCATCTTTAAAGTTGTCCAAATGAAGTTCTTAGCAATGCATATTACTAATCAAAAATTAAGTTTTGATATATTTACGGTATGAAAATTACAAAATATCTTCATGGACCATGATCTTTACTTAATATCCTAAAGATTTTTGGCATAAAATAAAAATCTATAATTTTGACCCATACAATGTATTTTTGGCTATTGCTACAAATATACCCCAGCGACTTAAGAATGCTTTTGTGCTTCAGAGTCACATATTTACTAAATTTAAAAAAAAGGGCCAAAGCTGATCATCTCAAAATTAGCTGGTGATTAATTGGCCTGCCTGATATATCGCTCTTAATATGCATATATCAGCTGTATGTCTGGTGCAAAAAAGGCAACGCTTAATGAGCAGAAGAACACCACCATCTCCATGATTTCAGTCCTGTTATGGAGCTGTTTTGAAATCTCGCCTGTATGAAGGGCATCATGGATTCATTGAAATATCAGGCTATTTTGGCAAAGATTGTGGTGCCTTCGGTGCAGAGACTGACGCTTGATCGATGGACTTTCCCGCAGGACAGCCTCTCAAAGTACTACTTAAAGGGACAGTTCACCCAAAAATAAAGCTCCTGTCATCATTTACTCATCCATCAAACCTGTATGAGTTTCTTTCCTCTGTTGAACACGAAAGAAGACATCTGGAAGAAAGTCTGCCGGTAGCCATTGACTTCCATAGTATTTGTTTCCCCAACTATTGAAGTCAATGGCTACCATCAGCTGTTTGGTTACCAACATTCTTCCAAATTTTAATTTCTGGGTGAACTATCTCTTTAAAGGATTAGTTCACTTCCAGAATAAGTTTTTGAACAGTAAGATTTTTAAATGTTTTTTTCTTCTGCTCGCAGAGGCTGCATTTATTTGTTCAAAAATACAGTAAAAACAGTAAAATATTTTTACTATTTAAAAGAACTGCTTTCTATGTGAATATCTGTTAAAATGTAATTTATTTCTGTGATTAAAGCTGTATTTTCAGCATCATTACTCCAGTCTTCAGTGTCACATGATCTTCAGAAATCAGTGTAATATGCTGATTTGCTGCTCGAGAAACATTTCTGAGTATTATCAATGTTGAAAACAGTCGTGCCGCCGCTATATATGTTTCCAAACCCCATCACAGCCTCATATGAACACAGATAATGACAGTAAATCATGTAATCATGCAGGTGAGTGTGCTTCACTGACCCAGGTACAGCACGGTGGGGATGAAGCCCCAGCGGATGATGAACTGGCCGCACTGGAACACTTGCTGCAGCCGCTGCTTGCTCTCTTTGCTCAGTTTGGTCATCATTTCACTCAGATTTGATCAAAGATAGTCTCTGGCTGCGATGCGGAGCGATGAAGGGCACGGAAGAGCGCAGGAAGCACGTGTGTGCCGTGAAGTGTGCGGCGGTGGCGTTCCTGCGGCTACAACTTTGCGACAGTCGCAAAAAAAGCGCCACGCTGACATCTAGTGGCCATAAAGGGGACTTCAGGACACCAGCAGTGGACAAACTGGAAAATATTTTTATTTTATTTTATCTTATTTATTTATTTATTTTATTGTATTATTTTATTTTGCTTAATTAATAAAAGCATGTTTTACCCTACAAATTTAAATGAATTACTATGTCCTCAAACCCCTGATTAACAAAGACTTTTAATTTTAATATAAAATAATAAATCCATAAAATAAATTCAGAGGTCAGTATTGTTTAACGACAAAAGTTTAATGATTTAATCTCAAAACTCTTTAAATAGAAAGAAAAAAAATGATCTGCATTGAGTTTTTGAAATTAAAAGGTAATCAGTAAAACAATAATAAAGATTGTTTTCTTGCTATTTAAAAATCCAGTCACGTTGAAATAGAAATCTTTATTTTCAGAGACTGTAACCATGTTACTTTTTTTTGACGAAAGGCAAAAAATGACTTCAGTACAATAATATTTACAATTCACAACAAAATATTCACATTCTCCAAATGATCTGAGCACAGACACGAGCACGGTTATTGAGGGTCCACTTCAAATTAAAAACACAAACCATTATGAGCAGAAAACGTCTTCAAAAACATCATCCTAAAAAAGAAAACAATAAAACCAGACAAGTACTGGTGCAAAAGCACAGTGCTGCACCAATAAAAGAAGAAAAATCAATTCACCGATTCATTTTTAAATCAAGAAATGATTTGTGGCTTATAATCACACTCTGCTGTAGTGACACATCAGCAGCTGGTTAACTATTACCAGTTTAACCACCGATACTAACCCGCCCGCCTCATGTGCCAAAGCATCTCTTATGGCCTCACATACAGCAATTCAATTAATAACCATATTGCTTTAGAAACACCATGAAAAATGACTCTTGTTTTGGTCTGATTTCCACAGGATTTTCCACTCGGGTTTGTAACCAAGCACACAAATTCCCATGAAAACGGTGAAAGGATGGCTTCGGTTCGAGCCCAGTGCATGCTGGGATACGCGGAGAAGAGAAACTGCAGTTTTCACACACGTGAGTCACTCGAATAGTCATAAAAAATACACAACATCTGACTTCGCAAGGATCTTTTAAAAACACTTCAAAAATACATGACTTTGGTAATCAATCACGACTGACGGAAACAAAAAGACCGAACGGAAAAACAAAACAGACTTCCTGTAAGGTGCTGCAGTTTCCTGCCACCAGGTGGCAGCAGTGAGCGTCTCTGTTTAGGGTCACAGGTCAGAGGTCACGTGGATACTGATGGTGGGCGAGCGCTGCCGGGGCTGGTGGGCGGGGCTTAGGTGTTCCAAATAAGCCACGCCCCCGTGGTCCGCTTCTGCGACGTGATTGGAGGAGAGGACGTTGCTGACCTGCTCGAAGGAGCGTGAGAAGACGGCGCTGGCGGTGCGTGACAGACTCAGCGAGCCGCTCTTGGGCACTGATTGGCTGGCGGTCAGCGTCAGGCGTTTGAGTGACAGCAGCTCCAGGTTCTCGCTCATGGCACGGACGGTGGGCTGTTTGCGTGTCAGCTGATCCATGCTGGAGGCTGCTTCCTTGTCCTTGTCTTTGCTGGAGCGGCCCGTCAGGCGGCGCAGGCCCTTCCCGCTCAGTTTCCCGCCGCCGCCGCTGCTGCTGATGACGATGCTCGGAGTGGTGGACGTCTGCGTGCAGATGCCCTCGTCCACCTCGGCGATCTCCGTCAGCTCATCCGGGGAACCCAAATCCACTGCATCTGCGGCGGAGAGAGAGAGAGAGAAGAACGGCTCAGAGCTGTGGAGTTTTTAATGTTTTTGAAAGAGTCTCTTCTGCTCACAGAGGCTGCATTTATTTGATCAGAAATACAGCAAAAACAGTAAAATTGTGAAATATTTTTATTATTTAAAATAGCTGTTTTCTATGTGAATATCTGTTAAAATGTAATTTATTTCTGTGATCAAAGCTGTATTTTCAGCATCATTACTCCAGTCTTCAGTGTCACATGATCTTCAGAAATCATTCTATATATTTTTGTGGACAATTTATTTTTATTTTTTTACAAAAAATTAAATTGATTTAATGTGGCAGTAAAGACATTTATAATGTTACAAAAGATTCTATTTCAAATAGATGCTGTTCTTTTGAACCTTCCATTCATCAAAGAATCCTGAAAAATAAAATATATCAGTTTGCTAAAAAATATTCATCAGCACAATTGTTTTCTTGAGCAGCAAATCAGCATATTAGAATGATTTCTGAAGATCATGTGACACTGAAGACTGGAGTAATGATGCTGAAAATACAGCTGCGCATCACAGAAATAAATTACAGTTTAACAGATATTCACATAGAAAACAGCTACTTTTAAATTCTAATAATATTTCACAATTTTACAGTTTTTACTGTATTTTTGATCAAATAAATGCAGACTTGGTGAGCAAGAAGAGACTTCTTTCAAAAGCATTACAAAACATTTTATTATTCCAAACGTTTGACTGGTAGTGCATGTATTATTATTATTATTATTATTATTATTGTTATAGGTTCAATCTCACAAAGAAATATCCAGGTCATATTTCACCACAAAAAAAATTTAAATAAAATAATAATAATATTTTTTTTTAACTAATTAATAAAAAAATAAAAATAAAAAAAAAACCTTGTTGGTATCAAATTTTGCACTCCGGTTTAGTAATCAAGTGTCCAAAAAAAAAAAAAAACCTTCCTGGATAATTAAAACACTGACATTTAAGGTATATTTTTATGTGATATATTTTATAGTATTATTACATTACAGGCTGAATCTTACAAAGAAATCTCTAGGTCATACAGTATTTCACCACAAAAATCGGAAAGAAAAATGTATGAAAATTATAATTTTAATAGAAAAAATTAAGCTTATTTTCTTCTGATTGCTTTTTTTTTTATATCCACAATTAAGTGCATTTTCCCCTCAAATTCACATTACTGTAACGCAGGGTTTCCCAAACTGGGAATTTAATTAAATTAATTATAAAAATGTAAAAGTAAAATAATACATACTTTTAAAACAAAAACAAGCACTAAAATAGATTCAGTATTGTATTGGTTTGTTTGCATGTCATGTGATCATTAACTGTCATCAGAGAACTGTGAACGTGCATTAAATTATTGAAATATTACATTTTAATCTCAGCGGGATTTAATATTTTAGCATATATTTTACATCAAAGGGGTTTGGCTGACAAAAACGTTTGGGAATCCCAGTTGTAAAGTGAAAAACTCAATCTTAATGTAATTATAAAACTGTAATACAATAATGAAAATAAAAGGTCAAAAAACGTATTAAAATTACTATAACAAATACTACTATTATTAGCACTTATTCTACTTTCTCCACATTAAAATATTATAGTAATGTGATTTCGGGGGAAATTTGCTTAATTATGCACTTTTTATACACAATTATACACACACACACAAAAAAAAAAAAAAGTTTTTTGTGAGATTCACCTAATAAGATTAATTTTGCATTCATTTTTAATTGCATTTATTTTTGTTTTGTTAACAAGCAGCCGATTTCACAATCAGGGATGTAGAAATTTACATGACTGTTTCCAGAAAATGCTTCTTCACCAATGCAACAAAATCATATTTAATAGCATCAGCAGGTCAGACAGATGAAGATACACCAACACCAGACCTCAAACTCTACTGTAAGAGCGTTTCAGGGAAATAAAGGACCGTGTGAAAGCAGAGCAAGCTGTTGGGATGTTTGTAGGGAAGAGGAAGGAGTTATGCAACGAACCAGAAGCTCAAACTAGAAGAGAAATACAGACTGACAGGAAGTTCAGATGAGATGCATAATATATGCCAACCGTATTAGTAATGGGCAGCATTTGTGGACTAGTTCATGCACACTTAATATTGGTTATCAGACGCATCACTTCCTGTCAGTCTGTCTCGTCTAAAGGGAAGTCGTTTCCCTTGGCAACCCAGCGGAGAAGTGTCAGGAAAGGAGGTTTCGTAAATGGCTTTTCACAGCGCAGCTCATCTCCATAACCGCTTAGCTGTGAGTTAATGTGAAGGAACGGAAGAAAACAGAAGGATGGAGTGAGTTGTCGAATGCGACAGGAACAGACGTGAGTCCAGGGTCCTTCACAGAGTTGAGCTGATGATTTCTGGACACTGTTAATAACATCGGTGCAGGAAGAGAAGCTCTATCCACCACATTACTGATATAATGTCGATCACCACAATAAAACATTTCGATTTTCCCCAAAGTAAAAAAAAAAATTATTTAAATAATAATTATAATCTAATTACAACGTATAATAATTATTATAAAATTACTATAAACAAAATATATAAATAGTGCTTTTATAATAAAATGATAATATAGTAATATGTAATCAAATATTTTGATTTGTCCCTAAGTAAAATAAATAACAAATAAATAATAATTATAATTAAATGTAATTATAATTACAACATATAATAATAATAAT